GCAAGCCATGAGTGACTTGATAAAAACCAATCAAGATCTTAAGCTTTGACAACAGATTGTCAAAACAAGAGAGTCCCCGGTCCTTTGAAAGATTATTTTTCTTTCTCCAAACTATAAGGGTCAAAAATATCGCTATAATAGTAGCAATGAGAGAGAGTTGTCCTGCAATCCAAGCCCGTGAAGGACATTTTTCGCAAGAGTGAAATTGTTTGTGGTACCCTGGATTGCATACAGCGCAAAGCGGACCTTGATAGCCTTCTCCGCATGGTGAGTCCAAACCACCTTTGCAAGACTCCTCTACTTGACATCTGTATGGTGTTGGTATTGCATAAGGATACTGCACTGAGAAATCATCCAATGCAGGTAGCTCCCGAGCGAGATTTTTCATGAAACATTCATAGCGATGTTTATAGGACTCGTTCCGCCATTGCCACCAAAAGCCAGGTTTTAGTGAGGCGTACTCATCTTTGCATAGCAGCCCGCTTCGGCCACATGTAAGACACTTGTCGAAGAGATGAGTTCTGTAATGGCCTTCCAAGCAGGGACAAGCGCGATGTCCAGCGAAAAAGTCGGTTTCCGTTCCTGTAAAAATCCAAGATTGCATTATTAATCAATCAAATCTTACTCACTCCTACCTTCAGTTAGATGAAACTGGAGCTCTAAACACCAGCTAGACTAATGATGTCATATTTAATTATCATTGAAAAAAAAGTAGGATCAAAGTCTTGAACCTCGTTTTCGTATTATTTATCAGCGCAGGGTGGAAAGGATTCTCTCCTGGACTTTGAGACCCGATGTTCTTGCAAATATTGATTGAGGGGAAGATCAACTGATAGGGTCACCTATAAACCTTGGGGCGTCAAATAGTACCCTTAAGTGAAAAAAAAAGATCTTCAAACCAACCATACACAATGAAGCAAACACAGGGAAGGGTTTCGCGACATTCGATTCTTGCCTACGTGCTGGGTTTGTTTCCAAAGATAAATTCGGCTGTTCTAATTCTAATCATTTTTCCTCATTCTTTCCAGGCTTCTAGACAGCATTTGCTTACGTGTGTACACACTGATAGCTTAAAACCCGTTGGTGACGTCAAAAAGCACATGTTCGGTTATTACCATCAGGACATTTCTTGCAGTCCAGTACAGATTTTCCAGGTTTTTTGTCATACGCCACGTAAGAACCATTTGGACATTTCTTACAGCCGTCTGCAACATAACCAAGAGTGTCGGAGTAAAAACCACCTGAAAGAGGAACATGTCAAAGTTCCAGTTGAGGTAATGAGTGGTTCCAAATACATTTTGATTTTATGTGAAAATAAAAATATATACCGTCAACGTACCTGTAACTTGGTGGAATAAGAAGTTTCCACCAGCTTCAAGGTTGAGCCTTCGAAAACAAATAGTTAACCTTCTAATATAGCTACCCTGCAAAGCTGCCTCTGCGGGAATTTTCTCCCAGCACCAACAATCATCGTTTACTTTGGTACGAAGTCAAATTCTTGATCAATTTTAGTTTCATTGATAGAGGTAAAAAAGTTCCTTTGCAAGTCATTTTTCCTAAACTGAAATAGTTGATGCTTTGGACAGAGACTGTTTTTCAGTTATATACTGAAACCTGAAATCCTCTCTCGCACCCGCGTCATAAATTGAAACAGCCTTTACCTCCTTACACTTTTATAGCCCTTTAGGCTTTATTCAAAATATATTGTTGTAGTTACTGACTCTTAAGATAAAACGACCCCAGCGGACTTTAAGTATTAAAGCTTCCCCCGAAAGACTTGTTTATATACAAGCAAGAAGTGGTTCATAAGATGGTCATTCCTAGACACATGTACCAAGAAATTAATCGCTTTCACCGTTTCTTATTGTGACCTAAGCTACATCGGGTTCTTACAAA